CTTTTACGCCAGATGTAATGGGACATACACCTTCCAAAAAGTTCAACTTTTGTCTCGTCAGTCCACAGAGTATTTTCCCAAAAGTCTTGGGGATCATCAAGATGTTTTCTGGCAAAACTGAGACGAGCCTTTATGTTCTTTTTGCTCAGCAGTGGTTTTCGTCTTGGAACTCTGCCATGCAGGCCATTTTTGCCCAGTCTCTTTCTTATGGTGGAGTCATGAACACTGACCTTAATTGAGGCAAGTGAGGCCTGCAGTTCTTTGGATGTTGTTCTGGGGTCTTTTGTGACCTCTTGGATGAGTCGTCGCTGCGCTCTTGGGATAATTTTGGTCGGCCGGCCACTCCTGGGAAGGTTCACCACTGTTCCATGTTTTCGCCATTTGTGGATAATGGCTCTCACTGTGGTTCGCTGGAGTCCCAAAGCTTTAGAAATGGCTTTGTAACCTTTTCCAGACTGATAGATCTCAATTACTTTGTTTCTCATTTGTTCCTGAATTTCTTTGGATCGCAGCATGATGTCTAGCTTTTGAGGATCTTTTGGTCGACCTCACTTTGTCAGGCAGGTCCTATTTAAGTGATTTCTTGATTGAGAACAGGTGTGGCAGTAATCAGGCCTGGGTGTGGCTAGAGAAATTGAACTCAGCTTTCCAAAGATGTGATAAACCACAGTTAATTTATGTTTTAACAGGGCGGGCAATCACTTTTTCACACAGGGCCATGTCGGTTTGGAATTTTTTTCCCCCTTAATAATAAAAACCTTAATTTAAAAACTGCATTTTGTGTTTACTTGTGTTATCTTTGTCTAACATTTAACTTTGTTTGATGATCTGAAACATTTAAGTGTGACAAACATGCAAAAAAATAAGAAATCAGGAAGGGGGCAAACACTTTTTCACACAACTGTGTGTATATATATATATATACTGTATAGAACACAAGCTGGCACTGTAGGATGTAAGCCTTGCTTGAACACTTGCCTATGATGTTTAGTCAAAAGCTTTTTGAGAATCTTCGAAGGAAAGACTTTTGTATTATTCTATTTGTGACATTTCATTTCACCACCTCGGTCACACATCACTGCATAACACGTATCTAATATGCCTTTTAGTGGAGACTGCAGTGCAAGTACTGAGTCTCTCAGTGGGACTGTGGCGGTTTGGACTTCCACAACAGCAGCTGTGCACAGCATGTTGCAGTGATACTATAGTTTAAGTGATCACATGTGACCTTTTTAAATGTTCTGCACAAGCCTGCAAAGCATTTTTCTTGCATTCACGCCCGTATTTATTTTTTAGCGTTTTGTTCAAATTTTGTCTTTGCATAAGTAGAGGATGACTTTAATTTCGATAATTTAGCAGTGGTTGTCATTGGTTGTCATGAAGGGAAGTATATGCTGAAGAAGTCTCGCCGCACAGACGTGGAAGACCTGACCCCCAATCCACGCAAGCTGCTGCAGATCGGCACCGAGCTCCGTAAACTGAACAAGGTGATCAGCGACTTGACGCCCGTCAGTGAACTGCCGCTGACCGCACGACCCCGGTCGCGCAAGGAGAAGAACAAGCTGGCATCCAGGTAACGCATGCACGCATGTACTGTACGTACACACCAGAGCAGCACGGACCTTCTTTTACAATCACACAATCACCCTGTTGTGCGTTGGTTAACTCCACTCGTCTGTTGTTTATCGTAGAGCTTGTCGTTTGAAAAAGAAGGCCCAGTACGAAGCAAACAAGGTGAAGCTCTGGGGACTCAGCACAGAATACGGTACGTTGCTTACGACACAGTTTTTACTCCTTGATAAAGTTCTTTATCAAATGTATTTCACTAAATCTACCTGCATCTACTTTTTAGCTTTGTCACATTCAAAATTGACCATCAGATCGTTGAAAATGACCAAAACAGGGTGCTATCACCAACTTTTCCCGAGTGTGTTGACGTTTTGTCGATGCTTAGTTGTGTGCTCCACCATGTGCCCTCCTGTAGATCGGCTGCTCTTCGTGATCAATGCCATCAAGGAGGAGATAGTTGCCCGAGTGGAGGACTCTCCTCCGCGTCCGACCAACATGGCCGACACTCTGGAGCATCTCATCCAGGAGACACTCGGTGAGAAGTGAAGAGCGGGACGACAGCTGACAGAGACAACTGGCAGTAACTTGTGAAAGATTAATTACACACATTAAATGTACTTGAAATTACATTAAATTTAAATGACTAGTATCATTATGAAATTCCAACACTGGGAGGTTAAAAGCTCTTTATTTGATTCAAAGATTCAAAGAACATATATTAAAAAATGCATAACTTAATGGAAGCCATTTTTTTGACTGTTGAAAACTGAATTAAAGTTGATTAAAATATGTTTTATAAAGAAAAAAGTAACAATTACAAAACTCTCTGTCAAATACATTTGATAATGAAATATGGGTTAAACTATGATATGATGATATCATTCAGAATTAGATTACACATAATCAAAAGTTAAATTGAACTTTTATGAAAGTGGTAAAAAGAAAAGAAATAAAATAGCTAGTAGTAAGACAGCATTTAACTTAATCACTATTGACCCATATCATCATATTATGAAGACAACCAGAAGATAATACACAGGAAATTAATGCATTTTACAAGAATATCAAAGAGCCCTTTCTGAAAAAGAAAAATCCTCGTATGCGTTTGTTTGAGACAAGTAAGTTACATAAACCAGGGTGTTTAACATCTCTGAATGTGTCTTCATGTGTCTTACTGCAGTGGCATCACCTGTTTCTGGGCAGACTTCAGATTTTGTCAACAAGATCTTGGAGAACACAGGACGCGGCGATCCCACCGGCGGACTGGTCGGCCTGCGAGTCCCGACCTCCAAAATCTAGACAAACTGCGGTCCACTGAGAGCAGTGAACTAAATATTACCACCGTGCTGTCCCATTGTAACTATGCTCCCTTCTGCATGCCCCCTCCAACCCAGAGTACATACACATTGCTTGTCACACAAACACACATACCACTCCCTGTGTGTATGTATGTGTGCTTGTTTTAGCCATGCACCTGTATGGCATACACCTTAGCTTACTGTCTCTGCACACTGTGCGCAGAATCAGTGTGTCACTGTCTCCCAACCCATCGCCAGCATCTGTTGGGGAAAGCGCCTCTTTAAGCGAGGGATGGTTAGGTGTATAGCTAATAGCACGTCCTAAATCCACTGGTGACTATTAGATGTGTTTAACATAGTGTTGTGTAGGGTCGATTCTGTCGGAGGTCTGCTTCCAGGGCTGCTACAGAGACAGTCACACGAGTGTAACCACTGGAATACTTTCACACAGTTCATTTGAGGCTGTAATGATGGAGGAAGAATAGTCCCTCGTCAGACACCGTCAAAGGTTGTAAAGAGTTCCAGTTATCATTTCCTTGAAGAGGCTCACCTTACGTGGCAACAAAAATGAACTCCAGGATGTTAAATTGACCCGCTCAGAAAAAGAACTTTGACGAAAACATCTTTGGTTGCCAAGACAGCTACGGAGGAAAAAAAAAAAAGAGAAGAAAGCTGCTCCGAGGCGTTTTGGGGTGGCACGGAAGTATTTTGTATTGAAGGCCTGAATATGTTCATGCCATCCCCGGTTTGCCAATCAGGTCTGCTATTGTTAAAATGCAGGAGTTCACTTTTAGCAAAGTATAGCTCGAAACAAAAAAGCAATAGACGCTTAAAGTCAAAATTCGACTTCAGCGACTAAGCGACAGACATCCTGCTGGGCTGAAGTTTGCGGCTGGCAGGAGGAAGCTTAATGCCTCATTTTGACTACGTTAACTCAAACAGCAGGAGGTGGAGGAAGTACATGTAGTTTGGTGCTTTTGACCTTGTGCTGGTTATAACTGGACCAGGTGAAACGGGCATTTTGCCAGAATGGGAGCAGACTGTGAGGAAGATGATGGTGATGATGAAGATGAAGATGACAAACAGTGATCCATCTCCTCTAGGAAACTGTACATAAAAGTGTCTCCCAGTGAAAAACGGCACTGGTTCCCCTTTTTGTACAGTAGAGATGACCAGGTGTGTTCATACTAGTGTTTGATCAGAGTTCTATTCATTGTGCCTTGTATATGTATGTGTGTGTGTGTGTTTCTGTAAGTCTGAGTGAGTGCATGAGAGGGACTGAACGAGCAAGAGGTCAGAACTCCAGCCAAGGAGAGGACAGCTTTACACTGAGGGAGATTGTTGGTGAATGCGAGGAGGGAGACAACTGTGCGTATTTTCGTGTGTATTTCAGTTGTCTAAATATCTTCTGAATGTACAAAAATAAGTGGAAGCTCTCGTTGCGTCATGCCACAGAGTCTGTGTATATAGGAGGGCTCTGCAATTGATTACTTTTGGTTTTTGGTACTCTGTCTTTAGGGGTCGGGGGTGGGTTAACAGATATTTTCATTTAGGGTTACAAAAAAATATTTGCACACTATATTTTGATTGTTTTTTGTACCAAAGACACATGCAACGAAATGGCGACCAGCCAGTTAAAGTAAGGTTTTGCACAGCTTAACTGACGCCGTATTGAATGTAAGAAATGTGGGAGTGTCAGGGAACTTCATAGAACTGTGAAATTAGCTTGGGTCCAATTCTGTACAGAAAAGGAACATTCAGTCATTTTTTTTTTTTAAATAATCTGAAAATGTACTCCATCTGTGGGCTTCGCCAGTAGATGTGTTGCTTAGCAAGCACTTCATTCCTGAACTGGTTCCTCCCTCCACATGCTACTTGTTTTTATGGCGCTAGCTAGGACAAAAACCGAGAGCGCTAGTAGATAAGCTATGTTACATTTTTGTTTTGTCAAAATGTCACCAACAATAACCAAAACGTTTAGTTCCTGGTGTCACTTGTTTGATTTCTGTATGTAGATGAGGTCTAGTCCATCAACAAGATATTAACTGAATTGTGTTTTGAAGTACTGTATATAGAAACATTAATGTTATATCTATCAATGGTGAAATGCCACTTTTCATGACAATTGATTAGTTTTTAAGCATGACACATTTCTACATCCTATCCTTGCATCGAGTAAGTTAGAGAAAAAAAACACAAAACCAAAAAAAAAAAAAAAAAAAGAAACTTGTTATATTTTTGTACTTTAGCTGCCTGCTATCTTTCCTGTTGGTTTGGAAGTATTTGTTGAGTGGAGAGATGAGACGAGGATGAAAAGAGGAGAACGGTCTTAAAGAGCAGCCAGTCGATCTTTGTTTTATAAACCGGCACCTGACCCTTTCGCTATCATTTACTGGCTGAGGGATTTACAGAGAATCAGGACTGGATTTATTTGAAACACAATGCAACAAAGCCACGGACTAGTTTGAGTGGTGTCTAAAGAGAATGAGGACCTGCTGTCCTCAGCAAGGACTGGGGCATGTCCAGACAAGCAACAAACTCAACAAGAGGACAACAGCGTGGAGACGTGAGGGCAGTTGCTGTGTGAAAGCCAAAGCCATTTGAGTGTTTCCCAGACTGATCTGGATTCAGCATTGTGAACCTGATTTTTACACATATTCCATGAATTTGGTTGAATTTTGCATATCCTGGGATTGGCATTCGGATTTGTTTTTGCCTGGCTTTAACTTCGGTCCTCAGCTCACATCCTTCCTGACCAGTCACGGCCGCAAAGAAAAAACATTCTTCACCAAAACATGCATAGTTACAATGATCAGGCCACAGATTGGCAGCATGTCCAACCTTTAGAAATGCGTGCTTGTTTTCCTGCTGCCTCCTCAGCGGAAATGCCGCTGTTCCCAGGCATTATAAAATTCAAACGGAGTTCTCTCTGGCAGCAGGCGAATACAAACAAAGAAATTCTTGTTTGACAAGGCTGAATTCAGGTTAGTTTGAAGTGAAGAATGTACTCCTTCACAGAGTGAACTCTGATGTCTGGTGATGGCGATGCAGAGGTCTCTCTGTATTGTGTGACTGAATAACAGCTAGTGCTGCATATATATATTTTTTACAAATTTCTGTTCCGTCTAAAAAGGGAGAAATGGTGCTTTTTTCTGAAACTAGAATGACGAGTATCCATGATTCTTATTTGGATTCTTAGTGCTAGTTGTAGCCTAAGGACTTGCTCCTCGTACCGTCCATAGCTATTTTCTTAGTAGTGATTCATTTTTGTAAATAGACTATAAGTTGATATGTACCTTCTAATTGTTACATATGTATAGTATACTCTTATCTTATATGTTTGAAAACAAAAGCACTTTGTCCAAAAAAGGAAAAAAAAAAAAATAACAACAAAAAGAAAGCATTTTTTTTTCTTCCATTTGCTGCTAAAAGGCCTGGTGTGAATGCTGCAAGTGTACTTGATGACTACTTGCTAGGAAAGGTCTCTTACCTGACTTGGCTAGGTCTATAATCTACCAGGGAATAGGTGTGCGGCCTGACGAGGGTTAGGTCTAAATGTTTCTGTAGCCTTGTGATGATAAGAGGTGCTGTATGAGCATGTATCATTGCTTGGCTTTGGGAAGCCCAGACAGGATAGATTTATTTCCTGGTCGGGAACCATGAGGATGGTGTGTTTATGGTCTTAAAAATAAAAAAGGGGTTTTGATTCCAGGGGCCCTACGTAGATCCTGATGCCGACCCCTTTGGTGTCATGATTCTTTTGCCTTCAGTAGAGGTTTCCTATGGAAAAATCGATTCTGCTTTGGCTTCCACTTCAGGTTGATGTACAGTGAAGACACACTTCTCCAGAGAGCTATATTGTTATCATTTGTAAACTGATTTCTACTTGTGACTTAATGAGGAGGGGGTTTAGCCCAGAGCGGCCAGGAAGAGCCCGTTTGAAAGATGCTGTTCCGGGCCGCCTTGGGGGAGGTTACTATATCACTGTACTGTACGGCAAGCCAGTTGCAAATGGAGACTCAATCCGGACACTTATTGCCTTTTTGAACTTTTCACTTACACACAAAACAAAAATATCTACTTGGCAGACATGTCAGTTGTCAAGGGGTGTGCCTGAGGTTCATGACATTGTTCTGCCAATATATTGTCGACGACAACAAAACTATTCAGCTTCATTGGCTCAAAACAACCTTGACTGAAGTAGCAGACGTGGTGAAATCTGTGTAAAAAATGGCTTCAAAAGTCTGAACTCCTTGTGTTGTATCCTTTGGGACTACATTTGAAGCGTTTTTTTTCAACTACAATTTCACCCAGGTCTGGTAGGGGGTCAACAGGGGTTAAAGAGCTGCTTGTTGGCCAATAGTAGATCAGCTCAGTGGAGTGTGTGTGTGTGTGTGTGTGTGTGTGTGTGTGTGTGTGTGTGTGTG